AAAGCACCGGCTACCAGGCCGGCTTTAGGTCACACTGTGAGGAGCAGGGGGCCCAGCCCGGCCAGCCCCAACCGCCCAAGGTCTCACTCTCCACAGGGCCCTCCTCCCATGGCATGGATCCTGCCCCAGGCTCTCCACTCATCACGTCTCCAGTTATCCAGGTCCTTGCCATCTCCCTCTCCTCCCATGCGTCTGTCTTGGCCTCTGAGACTAAAGAACACTTCTTTTCTCCTCTCTGTGGACTATGTCCTGATAAAAGTGCCAGGTCACTAGACCCCAGAAGCCTGGAGTGTGTTCCCTGTGGCCACACACAGCTGCACCGTTGTGAGGCTGAGTCCAAGAGCCAGTTCCTTCCTGGGGCTTCAGAACTGGTTCTGCAGATGTTGGCGGAAGGATGGACACTTAGATCAATGAAACAGAATAAAAAATCCAGAAACAGATTCACACAGATATGCTCAACTGATTTTTGCCAAAGGTGCAAAACAATTCAGTGGAGGTAAGATCATCTTTCAATAACGCTGCTGGAGCAACTGGACATCCACAGGCCACAGACGCACACAAAAAGAACCTTGAGCTATTCCTCACATCTTTTAACTCAACCTTAAGTCAAAATGGATCATAGACTTAAATGAAAAACATAAGACCACAAAGCTTTTAAAAGAAAACCTAAGGGAAAAATCTTTGGGACTTAGAGCTATTCAGAGTTCTTAGACTCGAAACAAAAATCAGGATCCATAGAAGAAAAAACTGATAAACTGGGCTTCATTAAAATTAAAAACTTTTGCTGTGCAATGACCTTGTAAAAAGCTACATACTGAGAGAAATATGTGCAAACCACATATTCCACCAACGACTAGTATCTTGAATATATAAAGGACTCCCAGTAAAAAAGCAAACAATCTAATTAGAACACGGACAATGACAAGAAGAAATGTCACCGAAGAAAAACATTACAGATGACAAATAAGCACCTGTAAAGATGCTGAATATCTTTAGTCATTGGGGAAATGTAAATCAAAACCATGAGATGACTACACACCTACCAGAAAGGCTAACACAAAAATAGTGACAACACCAAATGCTGGTGAGGATGCAGAGAAAGTGAATCACCCGTGCACTGCTGGTTAGAATGTAAAACAGTGCTGACACTACAGAAAACCATTTAGCAATTTCTTAAAAAATGAAATACACAACCCTCAAATGACCCAGCCACTGCCCTCCGGGACATTTACCCTAGAGAACTGAGTAACTCACACAATAACCTGCACACTGAATGTTCACAGCAGCTCTTATTTGTAACAGCTCCAAATAAGAAGTCATCCAGATTTCCTTCAGCAGGTAAATGGTTAAACTAACCACGAGACATTTCTATCATAGAATACTACTCTCGTCTATTTAAAGGAACAAATTGTCAATACATGCAACCAGGACAAATATCCAAATAATTAACCTGAGTGGAAAAGCCCATCTCAAAAGACTGCATACAGTATGATTCCATTCAGTGGCATTCTTTTTTTTGAGACAGAGTCTCGCTCTGTCGCCCAGGCTGGAGTGCAGTGGCGCGATCTCGGCTCACTGCAACCTCTGCCTCCGGGTTCATGCCATTCTCCTCCCTCAGCCTCCCAAGTAGCTAGGACTACAGGAGCCTGCCACCACGCCCGGCTAATTTTGTTTTTGTATTTTTAGTAGTGATGGGGTTTCACCATGTTGGCCAGGATGGTCTCGATCTCCTGACCTCATGAGCTGCCTGCCTCGGCCTCCCAAAGTGCTGGGATTATAGACGTCAGCCACTGCGTCCGGCCCAGTAGCATTCTTAAAAGAGCAAAACTTAGAAGGAGTGAGCTGGGGCAGGAACAAAGTAGGTATGGCTATAAGAGTGCAACAAAAGGATCTTCTGGTGATAGAAATGTTCTACAATCCTTTTCTAAATGGACATATAATTGTATATGTTTATGGGGAACGGTGTGGTGTTTCCACACAGTTATTCATTGTGGAATGATCAAATCAGACTAATCCACATATCCATCACCTCAAATACTTATTTCTCTGTGGTGAAAACATTTAATATACATTCTTTTAGCTGTTTAAAAATACAAATTATTATTAACTACAGTCACTATGCTATGCAACAGATCACCAGACCTATTACTCCTGTGTAAATGAAACTGCGCACTCTCTGACCAACCTCGCTCCTTTCCACTCTGTCCCCTGTCCCCAAGCCTCTGGGAACAACCATTCTACATGCTACTTCTATGAGTCTGACTTCTAAAGACTTCACACATAAATGAGATCATGTTTGTTTTTGTCTGTGTCTGGCCTATTTCACAAAATATTCTGTATCTTGACTATTCTGTGTACGATGATGTGAAACTATAGTTTTGAAAGATGCTACTATTGGAGGGAGTTGGGTAAAGGGGATAGGATTGTTCTGCATTATTTCTTGTAAGTGCATGTGAATCTACAAGTATCTCAAAATAAACAGTTTAAGAAAAAAAAAAAAAAAGTGAATGGGCACCTAAGGTCACAGTCCTGCCTTTCACTGTAGCACTGTAGCACAATTTTGAAGAGCATTTAAAAATGTAGAGGAAAAGGTGAAGGCTGCCAGCCATCCTGCAACAACTTCAAAGAAAATGGTATGAACTGATTCATGAGGCAGAAATACTTTGGTTCTGCAAGAATGTATGACGTATAATAGCAAACTAACATGACTCTGAACTAAGTGATATGTTTTCTCTCTTCCAAGCGGATGCCAGGAGAAATCAACGATAGTTTTCAGAAGGCAAAGATGACACAATTGCTTTAAGAAGTAAAGCAGCAGATCTACCCCAAAACGGATCATTCCACCCAATGTTCCAACACAACATTAGAATTAAAGCGTAAACTGCAAAAGCTCAGAAAAATAAAAGGATTTGTCCAAAGGAGGTATAAACCAGTAAAAGAAGACTGCTATTACGGATGCGTAATGCTGTCCAACAGGACATGTGAGATAAACAAATGTCTCTTTGAAACTACACTTCCAAGAAAGAAACACAGATGTCTAGAGGTGATAAAGTAAAGCATCTGAAACGGAAAAGCAAGGGATCATCAAAAATGAAGGAGGCATAAAGAACTGCCCCTACCGCTGCAGGCATTTACACTTAGAGGCTTTCGTATACATTAAATCAGTATGAAAATTTACGGCCGGGTGCAGTGGCTCACACCTGTAATCCCAGCAATTTGGGAGGCCGAGGAGGGTGAATCACTTCAGGTCAGGAGTTTGAGACCAGCCTAGCCAACATGGTGAAACCTCGTCTCTGCTAAAAATACAAAAACTTAGCTGGGCATGGTGGTGGGTGCCTGTAATCTCAGCTACTCAGGAGGCTGAAGCAGAAGAATCGCTTGAACCTGGGAGGAGGAGGTTGCAGTGAGCCGAGATTGTGCCACTGCAATCCAGCCTGGGTGACAGAGACTCCATCTCAAAAAAAAAAAAAAAAGAAAAGAAAATTTGTGACTGGTGACCCTAACTTCAAATAAAGTTTGTGAAAATCCTTAGTGAGTACGAATTACAGTTTGTAAAACATACACTGTAAGATTATGAAAACCTTGAATTGGAGAAACATACCTCTGCCATGAGGAAGACTGGAAAAACAAAGAGGGTCTCAACATTCTGTAATATTCCATTTCTTTTGCATTAAAAAAATTATACATAAAAATGATAAAGTATTCACTGTTAATTCTGGCAGTCAGTATATGGACACTTTGCCACACAGTACTTTTCTGTTCTTCAAATTTAGAAACAGCTAGACTGGGAAATATAACAGAAAAGGGCATCTTCATCTTGCATTTCACTGGCCTTTATTTTTAGGAGCCTTAGCTAGTGCAGCCCACACAGAAAAAAACATTCCAAACCATTTACAATGCTGATGTTTGTTGAGTATGACTTTCTATACATTTTAAAACATATATTTGTATTTTTTATTTTTTTAAAAACTGTTATTTTATGATATATAAAATATTTATAGGACTAAAACCTTTTATATAACTATTTTTAATAAACTAAGAGTGCAATTCCTTTTTTTTAAAGACAGAGTCTCACTCTGTCGTGCAGGCTGGAGTGCAGTGCCACAATGTCAGCTCACTTCAACCTCTGCTTCCCAGGTTCAAGCAATTCTCATGCCTCAGCCTCCCAAGTAGGTGGTACTATAGGTGGGAACCACCATGTCCAGCTGACTTTTGTAGTTTTGGTAGAGATGGGGTTTTGCCATGTGGCTCATGCTGGTCTTGAACTCCTGGCCTCAAGATACCCGCCCACCTGAGCCTCCCAAAGTGTTGTGATTACAGGTGTGAGCGACTGAGGCCGGCTTACGGCTGCAAATCTTGAAGCCTTCATCCAGTGACTTTTTTGAAGAAGCAACTGTACAGTAGGCTAGACACACCTACCTAAGGCTGGTGAAGAGCCGCTTAACATGATAAAAAATTTACAGGCATTGATGTATTGTCAAAATATAACTTTTAATATTGTTGGCTTAAAAAATATTTATTTTCTAATAGTTCTTGCTGGATCAGTTATGGCTCTATAATCAAGTCCTCATAAATCAAGAAAAATATGCTTAAATCTTGATCATCAGCAGGTTCAAACGGTCAAAATTTTCTACTTACTGTTTTCTGTACTATATGAGAGGCTCTATTTTTTTGAGATTTGAATCTAAGAAAAACAGCTGTTTATAACATGATGAAATAAAGAAAGTATAGCCTCAGGGAAATATCCCCAGAACACAGGGTTCACTAAAACAGAGTCTAGAAAAGAAGGGCTGGGCCCGGAGCAAAAAAAAGAAAACAAAGACTAGTAGATCGTCTACAGCTGAGCAGAGAAGAATAAAACCATTGCGATATAGCTAAGAAACTGAGGAAGTCTGGGGAAAATGAGTCTTTAAAGAATCCCCTAGCAGAAAGATTCTTGCCTTCTTTAGATTCAAAGACATATATACAAACCATAAGAAGTACAAATATGGAAGTCATACCTTTCAGGCCTAAAGTCTGCAACTGAAACAGTTTTCCCAGCTCAAAAGGTAGAACTCGTAACAGGTTGTTATTTAAATGGAGCTCCCTGTTGATGTAAAAATTCCAGGAAGTCAGAAAAATATGTTAGCCTTTAACAGTTAAAATCAACAACATAGTTTCTAGGAATATAAGCACCTAACAATGAAAAAATGTTACATTATATTTCAATGTCCAGTACAGCATTTCTTAAACTACATGTGGTTAAAAAAAAAAAAAAAAAAAAAAAAACTGCCAGAGAATACAAGAAACAAATTACTAGAAAAATGAAATAATGGGGGAAAAGGACAATACAAGCCCCAATTTTTAAAAAGTATTAGATTTAACAGACATATAAAATTACTCAATTGCTATATTAATCTCACTGCAGACCAGCAAGACAGTTTGCAAACTGGCCCCAGGTCACACACCACACCGAGTATCACTGGTCTAGCACACGTGGGGTCTACTACACGTTTAAGAAAGTGGAAATGATAAACTAGCCTACCATGTGAATTCTTAAAAGAGAACTAAAATAATCATTTATGACTCAAAAGAGCTTATAACAGCTGCACAATTAAGCTTATGATTGCTATTAACTAAAGTTGCATTTAAAAAATAACAGTAGCTGTATTAACTATTCATTATTATTCTTAATAATTTGTTTTGCAGAGATAACCATAATATAAATATCAAAGGAATCTTCAAGGGTTGCGGCAGAGAGGGGGGAACATTCGGGGAAAGAACCACCAGAGACCCAATACTGATACAGTGGCAGTTTTATTTGTCTTTTTTTTTTTTTTTTTGAGACAGAGTCTCGCTCTGTCGCCCGGACTGGAGTGCAGTGGCGCGATCTCCCCTCACTGCAAGCTCCGCCTCCTGGGTTCATGCCATTCTCCTGCCTCAGCCTCCCAAGTAGCTGGGACTACAGGTGCCCATCACCATGTCCGAATAATTTTTTGTATTTTTAGTAGAGACGGGATTTCACCATGTTAGCCAGGATGGTTTCCATCTCCTGACCTCATGATCCGCCCGCCTCAGCCTCCCAAAGTGCTGGATTACAGGCGTGAGCCACCGCGCCCAGTCCTATTTGTCAATTTTTAAGTGTGCAGGATATATATTTCTATAATCTTTGGTTTTTGACATTTAAATGAATCTTGGTTACTGAGCAAGCCAGAAGGTCTGTGTGGCTGTAAACTGAACAAGAAGAGCTAGTTCTGATATCTGGCTCCTGTTTATTTCCAAACACAACACACAGAAAAAAGGAGGTCCCTCGGCTGGCCGCAGTGGCCCACGCCTATAATCCCAGCACTTTGGGAGGCTGAGGCAGGCAGATCACTTGAGGTCATGAGTTCCAGACCAGCCTGGTCAACATGGTGAAACCCTGTCTCCACTAAAAATACAAAAATTAGCCGGGCATGGTGGCACACACCTGTAATCCTAGCTACTCAAAAGGCCGAGGCAGGAGAAATGCTTGAACCCAGAGTCAGAGGTTGCAGTGAGCTGAGGTCACACTATTGCACTCCAGCCTGGGCGACAAGAGTGAAACTCCATCTCCAAAAAAAAAGGAGGCCCTTCCTCTGTCTCCAATAAAAAAAAAAGGAGGTCCTTCAAGTAAATTTGTTTCAGAGGACTAAAAACAGTCATAGAATAAACTCAATAATTAAGCCTAAAAAAAAGTCAAAAGGCTGGAGTAGGAGCAACAGAGGCAAAGACCTTTCAAAAGGTCCTTATTCCTTTTTACTACATGGCTAATGGCAGAAGGCAGCAGAAAAGCCAGTGGAACCATGTCAAGAAGTCAGTTAATATGAAATAGTACAAACTATTCCATTGGGGTTAACGTAATACCTGGAATTTAGCCTTATATTTAACTTGGTTAGATCTTATCTACCTTATAAAACAGAAGTAAAATAGTAATAATAATAATAATGGGCCAGCCACAGTGGCTCATGCCTGAAATCCCAGTTTTCTGGGAGGCCAACATGGGAGGATCTTTTGAGGTTAGGAGTTTAAGACCTGCCTGGGCAACACAGTGAGACCCTCATCTCTATCAAAATAAAAACAGCAATGAGTATTTCTTCTCTTTCTTTTTTTCTAGAGGGCAGGAGGGTGGAGACAGGGTCTGTCTTGCTCTGTCACCCAGGAAGGAGTGCAGTGGCATGATCTCTGCTCACTGCAACCTTGACCTCCTGGGCTCAAGTCATCCTTGCGCCTCAGCCTCCCGGGTAGCAGGGACTACAGGTGCACGCCCAGCTAATTATCTGGGGATTTTTTTTTTTTAGAGACCAGATTCTCACTATGTTGACAAGACTGGTCTGAAACACCTGGGCTTAAGCAATCAGCCTGCCTCAGCCCCACAAAGTACTGGGATTAGAGATGTGAACCACCGCATGCAGTCTGCAATTACCATTTCTTGCAATACAGTCTATGCCAGGCAACATACTAATGTTTTTTTACCCATTATCTCAAATATCCCTTATCCTGGGTCACGAAGGTTGTCCAAGATCACACAACTCATAAATGGAAAAGTTAAGATTCCAACCTGAATTTACACATGTGACTCCAAATGCTACATATTTCATGCTATACGCCCCCAAATTTAATAATTAATTCTAGCTCTTTCAAGTCCAGGCTTTACTACTATCAAACATACAAGCCCTGGGATGGCAAAAAAGGTTTTATCAATTGGCAATGGTTTCCTGGACCCTGTGTTAAGGATGGTGCCCTGTTTGTCATGGGGAAGTATATGGGATACCGTAAGTGCCTTGCAGTCCAGCCCCTGTCTGTCCAAACTTTTTCATTCAAAACTAAAGTATATTACACAAAATACAGTAATTAAAAAATTCAGCCAATCATCTACGTAATTTATTATTAGCTGACATTCAGTTTTCCCAAAAATAAAACTATAAAGTTATAAAGGATATAGTTATGTTTCCTTTTATTCAAATACCATTAAATGAATAGTTTTGGTTCCTAACACAACCTTTTTTTTTTTTTTTGAGATGGAGTCTTGCGCTATCACCCAGGCTGGAGTGCACTGGCGTGATCTCAGCTCACTGCAAGCCATTCTCCTGCCTCAGCCTCCTGAGTAGCTGGGACTACAGGCGCCCACCACCACGCCTGGCTAATTTTTTGTATTTTTAGTAGAGATGGGATTTCACCATGTTGGCCAGAATGGTCTCGATCTCCTGACCTCATGATCCTCCCACCACAGCCTCCCAAAATGCTGGGATTACAGGTGTGAGCCACCATGTCCAGCCTATATTTTGTTTTAGGGGTCATATAGCTAGTATGTATTAAGTTGTATCTGCATACCTGAGTGATACCATGTTTCCGAGTTCTGCGGGTAAGCTACGAATTTTATTAGATGACAGGTCCAAATACACCAGATTGTGAAGCTTGGCAATGTCTGAAGGAATTCGGGACAGGGAATTGTCACTCAAATGCAAAGCTGTCAGGTGAGTCAGTGACCACAAAGATGCACTTAAGCTTCTTACTTTTCCTGTAAGAGAAAAAAATACAGGAACGGATTATATAGTTTTCTCTACAATTTGTTCTGTGGATTCAGTAAGATTTAGATGTTGTTATGAGTAACTTAAATTTTATCCAAAAAACTTGTGAGAAGGGGTTAACAGGAAATCTTACCTATTCTACAACAATTCATTGCTATGATTAAGTTATAAGCTCCTCACTTAGCAGGTTAAAATAAAAAGTTAATGTGCCAACACTACTTAGATAGCATCTTTGGAGCACAAAAAGAATTTATCCTTTAAAATTATCTCAGATATGAGAGGGAAATATGATTAATTTATAGTAATGATAAATCCAATATCTGAACATCATGACTGGTTTGGACTTATGCAAAATAACACAAATTCTACTATCTCAGAGGCTGTTCATTATCTCCAGAAAACAAGAATGTTGCCTAAAAACAAAAAGGAACACAAGGTATTCTTAGTTGAGTTTTAAGACCAGAGTACCCAAGTGATAACTGCATGAAGAACCACAGAGCCAAGCAGCATTTGTATTACGTGTTAGCAAGTAAAAACACTTGCCCAGAAACACTTCAAATATTAAGTCAGACCTTTCTAATCAAATGTAGTAGGCATAAGATTCAGTGACTAAGAATAGAATGATAAAATCTTTCAATGCAATAATAAATCTGTACTTTGGTACTTCTTGATAAATTGTCAATGGTTTCTACAATCTAAGAATGTTCCCCATAATCTCCTTACTGGTTCAGGATCTAATCTGAGAGACAATGAAACAAATGTAACGAAAACATACCAATCTTTCAGAACTGATTAATTTTCTATTGGTTGAAGAAAATGCAACCTTGAGACTTCTTACCAAGATAGAGTAACAAGAATTAAATTTACCATGCCACCTGTGACAACTATCATATCAGATAATATACATGAATCAGCAAATTTCTAAGATGAGACACCAACCAGTGCAGTAGAGTCATTCCTGAAGGGTGGGAAGCAAACAAGGTAGACCCTATAACTGTCTCAGCTTACTCCTTGGACAGCACTTACAGGAGGCAGCCCAAGGAGGGAAATCCCAGGTAGAGGATAGTGATCCTCCCTGAGTTCCAGAGACAGAGAGTCCAGGGAAGTCAAGGTAATTAGAAATCAAGAGGCAGAACATTAGAGAGAAGAGAAGAGAACAGAGAGAAGTCCAGAGATCTGAAGGGGCCCCCAACTCCCTGGCTTGTTGTCAACAGAGTATTGATCGGCACATGCATGTAAGAAACTGCCTGAGCCAGAGGGAAAAAAACACCTGAAAGGATTGTGGAGGCAGCAACTCCCAAGTTCACACGGAACTGAGGCTAGACTTTGTTCCTCAATGTCAGAGGAAGGACTGCTAACGGGTGCAGGGTTCCTTTTTGGGATGATGAAAATGTTCTGATTGTGGCAAATGTGGCACAACTCTGAGAATATATAAAACCCACTAGATTTGCACTTTAAATGGGCGAACTGTACAATGTGTGAATTGTATCTCAAGTTGTTACACAAGAGAAAAAACAGCAGAAAATGTCTATGTTTGACGAAAACTCTAAACTCACAGATACAAAAAGCTCAATGAGGGCAGGATGCAGTGGCTCATGCCTGTAATCCCAGCACTTTGGGAAGCTGAGATGGGTAGATCACCTGAAGTCAAGAGTTCAAGACCAGCCTGGCCAACATGGTAAAAACACAAAAATTAGCCAGGTATGCTGGTGGGCGCCTGTAATCCCAGCTTCTAGGGAGACTGACGCAGGAGAATCACTTGAACCCGGGAGGTGGAGGTTGCAGTGGGCTGAGCTGGCGCCACTGCACTCCAGTCTGGGCGACAGAGTGAGACTCCAGCTCAAAACAGACAGACAACTCCATAACATATGAAACATATGAAATTTTCATAAAAAGCAAGAAAAGAAAATTACATGTACATCTTAATCAAATGGCTTAAAAGAGAAAATCTAAAAAGCCACCAGAGGAGGGGAAAAACATTTCATATAGGAGGAGCAAAGATAAAATGCAGCAGACTCCCAGCTGTAAACAGTAAGAGAGACTGACAGATGAGCAAAATCTTTTTTTTTTTTTTGACAGAGTCTCGCTCTGTCGCCCAGGCTGGAGTGCAATGGCAGGATCTCAGCTTACTGCAGCCTCTGCCTCCCAGGTTCCAGCGATTCTCCTGCCTCAGCCTCCTGGGTAGCTGAGATTACAGGCCCACACCACCACGCCCAGCTAAGTTTTGTATTTTTAGGAAAGACGGGATTTCACCATGTTGGCCAGGCTGGTCTCGAGCACCTGACCTCAGGTGATTTGCCCACTTTGGCTTCCCAAAGTGCTGGGATTACAGGTGTGAGCCACGGCGTCCGGCCAGGAGTAAAAACTTTAATGTACTCTAAGGAAAAAAAAATCCTGTTAACCTAGCAAACTACCAAAAATAGCTTCCAAAAATGAAGGCACATTAACTTCTGACAAAGCCTGAGCATCCCTAATCTAAAATCCAAAATGCTCCAAAACCTGCAACTTTTGGAACAATGACATGAAATAGAGACTTCCTTGCTTTCTCATGGTTCAATGTAGATAAGCTTGGTTTCATGTACAAAATTTAAAATATTGGATAAAATTACCTTCAGGCTATGTATAAGTATATATGAACCATAAATGAATTTCAAGTTTTAGACTTGGGTTCCATCCCCAAGATATCTCATTACACACATACATGTAAATATTCAAAAATTAAAAAAAAAAAAAATCTGAAATCCAAATCACTTTTGATCCCAAGGGATATTCTAGTTAAGAGATATCCAACCTGTAAAGAAAAGGTGAAATGATTCACTGCCAGCTCATCTACCTGACAGGAGACACCATGAGCCCTAACTAATAAAGCGTTACAGCCAAAAAAGCCAAACAAAGGAGGTAAAATGGAATGATTTTTAAAAAGCTCCATTATTTCAAAGCAAGACGTTAAGAAAAAACAAGCTTTATTATTTCAAAACAAGACAGTGAAGAAAACATAGAACAAAGAATAAATGATATGAATAAAAAACAAATAGCAAGATGGGGAATTTTAAATCTAATGATAGGAATAACCATATTAAAATCAAATGGTTGGACTGGGCGCGGTGGCTCACGCCTGTAATCCCAGCACTTTGGGAGGCTGAGGCTGGTGGATCACGAGATCAGGAGATCGAGACTATCCTGGCTAACACGGTGAAACCCCATCTTTACTAAAAATACAAAAAATTAGCCGGGCATGGTGGCGGACGCCTGTAGTCCCAGCTACTTGAAAGGCTGAGGCAGGAGAATGGCGTGAACCCGGGAGGCGGAGCTTGCCGTGAGCTGAGATCGCGCCACTGCACTCCAGCCTGGGCGACAGAGCAAGACTCCATCTTAAAAAAAAAAAAAAAAAAAAATGGTTGAAAGAACCCACATAAAATGGACTGTCAATCAGCATTTTTAAAAAAGACCAAATTCTGCAATGCCTGCAAGAAACACACTTCAAATATAAAGACAAATAGAATCTGAGTATGAATAAATATACATAATAAAAAAAAAAAAAAAAAAAAAAAAAACAAGAAACAGCTATACTAATAGCAAAGTAGATTTTAGAGCAAAGAATATTCCCAGGGAGAAAGAAGGTCACTTCATAATGATGAGTCATAATGATAAATCAGTCAGCTCATCAAAAGGACATACAATCCTAAATGTTTATGCAACTAGTAACAAAGTATGAGCAAAACATGACAGAACTGCAGGAAGAAACAGACAAATCCACGAGATTTCAGAACCTTTCAATTAACAAGAAAGAAAATCAGAAGGGATATAGAAGACCTCAACAAAACTATCAGTAAACTTGACCTCATTAATATTTCTATAATACTCTACCCAATAACAGTAGGATACACTTTTTTTTTTTTTTTTGAGACAAAGGCTCACTCTGTGCAGTGGCGTGATCTCGGCTCACGACGTCCTCCACCTCCTGAGTTCAAGCGACTCTCCTGCCTCAGCCTCCCGAGTAGCTGGCATTACAGGCGCCCACAACTACGCCCCGCTAATTTTTGTATTTTTACTAGACACTGGGTTTCACCATTATTGGCCAGGCTGGTCTCGAACTCCTGACCTTGTGGTACACCCACCTCGGCCTCCCAAAGTGCCAGGATTACAGGTGTGAGCGGCTGCGCCAGGCCAGAATACACATTCTTTTCAAGTACACAAAGAATATTTACCAAGACAAATCCCATGCTGGGTCATTAAACAAGCTGAAAAATGAAAAGATTAAAATATCGAACAGTACATTTTCTGACAAAAATATGTTGGAATTAAATTAGAAATCAACAAAGATATCTGGAGAATACCCAAATATTGGAAATTAAATAACTCCCTGGTCAGAAGCAATCAAAAGAGTAATGAGAAGTATTTTGAACTGAAAGAAAAGGAAAACATAAAAAGACACCACATTTTGTGGGATGTAGCTAAAGCAGTAGAAAAGAAGTAAAGTCTCAAATCAATGACCTTGGCTTCTATCTTAACAAACTAGGGGGAAAAAAATTAAATGCAAACTAAGCAGAAGAAAGGAGATAAGTCTAAGATCAGAGATCAATGAAATATGTAAGGGAAAACCAACTAATCCAATAACCCAAAAGCTGGTTTTTTGAGAGGTAGAGTAAAACTGATAAACCTCTAGCCACACTGATCAGGAGAAAAAGAGAAAAGATACAAATTACTATGATCTGGAATGAAAGATGAAAACCACTATATACATACATATATATATATATATATATATCAAAACCACTAAAAATATATATATATATTTTTTTTTTTTTTGACAGAGTCTCGCTTGTGTCCCCAGGTGGAATACAGGGCGCGATCTCGGCTCACTGCCGAGCTTTGCCTCCCCGGGTTCGACGCCATCCTCGCCTCAGCGCCTCCTGAGTAGGCTGGGCAACTACAGGGCCGCCACTACCGGTCGGGCTACATTTTTTGTGTATTTTTAGCTAGAGGACGG